ATAAAATATCATTAATTACACTTTGCTTTTCAGTTTTTATATTATTATTATTATTATTATTATTATTCTTTTTATGTTATTCATTGCTCATTTCAATGTTTTTAAGATATTGAAAAGTTTTGAGTGATTTTTTTTAGGAAACAAAGTTCTTAACCCTCTTTTATACCATCTGAGTTCTTAAGATTTTGCAAAGAAAAGTTGGTTAATTTATTTATTAATATAATTAATATTTGTATTAAGAGATATTGCTTATTTCATTGTAATTTTGTTATACGTAATAACTTTTTTTTTATGAAGTTCTTCTGCAAAATTCTACGCAGTTTTTAAATTTAATGTTTGGTGTTCCCTTCAGCCATTTTTCCGGTGCATTTAAAAGCCAGACGAAGGCTGGCAGCGAAGCTGCTAGTACAAAATAATATTTGAAAAGGTATAAATTCGTCCTCAAGAAGTCTGCATAATTATATGGGTTAAAGGACTAAACTCATACACAAAAATATCTTTGTCAGTAAATCATTTATCTCACTAAAATGCATTTAATATTGACAACTCAACCATTTCATCACGAAGTGTATTAAATTGAACTGAAAATGTCATTGCATTATCAGTACCTATTGGTCATGTATTTGTACATCTATATCTTCCTTTATAAACTATTTTAAGGTTCGAATCCCACGAACGGGCTGGCTGCATGGGTGTTTTCGTGGTTTTCCCCATGTGTAACGTGTATACGAGCCAGTTTCCCTTAGAAAGTCCTCCACAAAGGCATTCCTCCCCTTAGGCAGATAGCCCTAGTGTGCTTTGCCATAATTAAATACACCACCATTTATAAACTATTTTATAAGATAATATAAAAATGAAATCCACATATTATTTCATCTCAGGTTTTGCTTTTTAAAAAAGTAGGAATGTCTTGATATGTTCAATGCACGAAGTGACTTTTAAACACTGAGCAAATGCACTTTGTTATGCAAAAGAAGATCTTACTTCCTCTAATAATCCAGAAAGCTGTGAGAATGTCTTTTTTCTATTATTTGGTTTACTATCTTTGTGACTAAATTCATCACACATACAATCTCTTTTGGAAGCATCTGTTCGCAAAATGCTTCCTGGTGAATCGCGCAATAAAACAAAACCTTTGATTTTACCCTTCATACTTAATGCTACATCTATAGCAATAGAAACCAATTTATTTAGGTCAATTTAATTTGTCAAGTATTTCGAAATAACTGTACCTATATCTTTGCCATGAGTTTGACCCTTATGGAACAGTAGTGTTACCAGTTCTTCAGAAAGATGTATTTCAGATACAGACTATGCTACTAGTGTAACTTGTGTTACATCTTTTTTATCGCATGATTCATCACTCACAATAGAAAATTCAGACGAATTCTTTCAAGGCTTTAGTTTGTTTACTTGTTATATTTTTCACCATCTGGACAGTTCTCTTGGAATGGTCTTTGCTGACAATGAAGTGTCGTTAATTTTCTTAATTATGTCATTCTTATTTGAAAAATCTTGAAAAAGGTGATCAGCCTTATTTAAAAAGCATTTTTTTAACATATTCTCTATCAGTGAAGGGTTTTCCATACTTGGCTGTATTCTGAGCAACAGCAAAACTGGCTGCGTTAATAGAAGAGTGCATCCAGCCGCTAAGTAGTGATCTTGATTTTTGCATTCTATAACATAATCCCTTCATTGAGGGATACAAGATTCATATTTTGTTTTAAAAAATGATGCTCAGTGTTTGGCTTTTAGTTATTTGTTAATTTCTCAATCCAAATTAGGCATGTAAGACCCAAACTCTTGTATAAATGCGCATGGACGGAAAAGTCCATTCACTTTTAAATTCACGATGTTCATTTTGAATTTTACATTGCTTTTTCTGTGTTGTCATGGTAGAAAACGTAATTCTTTGGAGTGTGACTGAAAAAAGAAACAGTATCAGTCATTCATGTAACAGTACTTATACCCAAGGCTAATCGTGTTTTTAAAATTATCTTTTACTATTTTATTACATATTAAAATGTATTAGTTGCCAATCATGTCATGTTTCTCTACATATATTTATATGTATATATATTAAGCCTAAAATTAAAAAAAAAAAGAAACTTACCCTCTTAAAACAGTTGATAACATATCACCAAATTTGTTACTTCCGTTTCTGGTATTTTTAGCCGTTGTTGCATACAAAAATTTCATTTAGTTACTGCAATAACAGTTGGTCGAATCTAGCAATCAATAATAAATGTGTCGATTTCGACGAAACGAAGCCATCAGTTCCGATTGTCAGTGGGAGCAAGGTTAACTAAAGTTAGGTTTGCATGTATGTGATCTGTCGTGCATTTTGATGTGTGCGTGAGATTAATAAATTTATTTTGAAGTAGCAATATTGCAGCTAACTTTTCAATGCCATTAAACTGTCAAAAGTCATAAGTATGATTCTACTGAGCCATAGGTTGCTAACCCCAGATAGAGATGAAAACAAAAATATGTCATTCTAGTTTGTAGGCTCTTTGCTTGAATTTTAAAGATAAAGATTTTAAATTAGATAGATGATTAAGAGTAGAATTTATCAATAAGAATTCTAAAGTTTTGAATCAAATCCCTGTAATATATATATATTGTAGATTTGCTCTTATGAATTATTAGTTATGAAACGAAACAGTTAAAAATAAACTAAGTTTATTAATGGATCGTATTTTGACATCACAATACATAAGATTTTAACTGGAGCTTCTGTCAAGATATCTTTTTAGAATATGTTATTCATGGACACACAATACTTGTACCTTTTTCTTTGCTTTCATATTAGCTTTGCCTTTAGACTGGAGTTATTTAAATTTTAATTAGTCTTCCTTTTAATATTGAAACCATCTGTTACTGAATTGTCTCTTTTTCCACCATAGACTAGATCATTTGATATTTTTTTAATTAGTAACTATATTTATTAAATTGTGGTTTTTAAATACAGAGGTTGTAAACATTATTTTTTTTATTACATCATAAATAAATACACCCTATTTGCCTGCATATAAGACGCACTTTTTTCTTTGAAAATAGATCTGAAAAATAGGTTGCATCTTATACATCGATACTTAGTTTTTGATTACTTTCATTTTTGGAAATTTCCTCTATTCAGAGTTATGCGATTTTTTTTTCTAGTTTCCTTGCAAAGTGTGGGAATATTACAGTTATGTAGATTTCAGTGAATGCACATGCACTATCATCGACGATAACAGCTGGGTTCGTTTAAACTTTCCAATTTTTGTGAACAACTTTGAAATGTGTTAATTTCTACTGTTCAGTTTTCTTAAATTTGCTGGCAAGTTATGGCTCAAAAAACAACGTCAGCATTTCTATAACATAGCACACAAGCTACATGTGATTGTGCATGTTAAGAACATGGAAACAGGGCTGCAGAGAGGCATTTCAGGCCTCCAACTGAGAAAAGGATAATAACTTGGCAGAATCAGGAAGAAGATCTAAAAAAAGCAACACAGACTAAACATAACCTATGAAGGTGAACTGCACAATGGCCTGAACCTGTGGCAGAGCTGAATACTTGGATTTTAGACCCAGAAAAGCGGGACTTTCAGTCTGTACAAAAATTATTATTTATCAAGCGATAGCGACTGATAAAGAAATTACCAATTTTACTGGATCAGCATCATGGTGTTCAAGATTAACGAAGAGAAACCAACTATGTATGCGGACTTAAACAAAAATATCCCAAAAGATTCCAGACGAATATGAAGGAAAAATTATTGAACTTCATCGATTTATCAGTAATGCACGAAAATAAGAAAATTTTAAACTTGCCACAAATAGGAAACATGGATGAGGTTCCTCTGACTTTTGATGGGCTCTCAAACAAAACTGTAGTTTCCAAAGGTAGAAAAAGTGTTATTGTTAAAACTTCAGGGCACGAAAAATTCACTACATGCTTGTTTTATCCTGGTGTGCTGATGGAACAAAATTGCTTCCATTGTTGATTTTTAAAAGGAAGACACTATCCAAAGAAAGATTGTCTAAAGGAATGTTTATACATGCTCATGCAAAAGGCTGGATGGATGGAGAAGAAATGAAGATATGGATAGATAAAATTTGGTCGAAGCACCCTGGCGAACTATTGAAGAAACCTGCCCTACTAGTATGGGATCAGTTTCTTTCTCACGGAATAGAATATGTTAAAAATAAACTCAAAGAATTGAAAACTCAGTTAGCTATAATTCCAGAAGGCCTAACTAGTCAGCCTTTAGATGGCCGCATTAATAAACCATTTAAGGAATTTATGAAGAAGTGTTACAGCTGGATAGTCTTCAAATTTTGAGTTACACCATCACGAAGAAACAGCATATAGCATTTCACATCATACAGCGTTTCACAAGTTTGTGAGTGGGTCGGGCCTAAGCTTCATAGGGATGTTGTGAAAATTATTTAAGAAGTGTGGCATTAGTAATGCACTGGATGGTACTGAGGACAGTTTGTTGTATGAGGATTCAGATGCTGATTTAGAAGACGTTTCAAGTGACTCTTCATTTAGCTCTGGAGATGAGTGTCTCGGTTTTGACGAAGAAGATTAAAAGGTGCTCTTCGCCAGATAGATTGGGTATTTGCAGAGAGTATTACTTTATATTTAAAAGACTGTAAATTCAATATAATGATCAGTGATAAAGTTTTATCCTTCGAAAATGTGTATAAAAGATGGGAGGTGTCTTATATGCCAGCAAATATGGTAATTTTTATTCTTAATGTAGAACTTTTTTTTAATGTGAAAATGAATTATTTTATGCATTTATTGCTTTTTTAAACAGTTTTAGTTGAGATGTCATTTTGTTCCTTAAAATTAAGTTAGATCAAATTGTACTGTATAGTTAGACAGTATTCTTGAATTATAATTAAATTAAATGTAATGATAATAATAATTAAATGAAATATAAATAATTCATATGAAATGTAATGATGAGTTGTATTAAAAAGTAATGCACATTTATTTGCAGGCTATAACACCAAAGTCTGAAGGAATAGTGTCAAAAGCATTTCAATATCTATGGAAATTATAGCTGTGCTATACATATTATTTATTCAACAAGGAAAATAAGAATAAATATGTGCTTTGTAAATATTGACTGAATTAATTTTTTTTTTAATATTGCAGTTTTATAATATATATTCTCCACCAAAATTTTAAAATAATGCAATGGGTGACTTTCAAAAAAGTCACAAAATTAAGTATTGCATTTTTATATGCATATTATATTATGAGAATATGAAAAAAATATGCATTCTGCCAGTTTTTGCATGAAATTATGAACATTTAACAGATAAACTTTTAAAATGACTAAACAGACTGTTTCATGATTATTATTTATTTAATTTTTTCCTGTTTTCTTATAAAAATATTTTAATTGTAATAATTAATGTGTAGAATAAATGTTTTTTGAACTGTATTCTCTTATGTTATTGAATCTTAAACAGTTTATAATCTTAAACACACACACACACACAAAAAGTAGTTAATGCCATTATACTTCTGCTGGATTTTATAAAATGTATTGCTATTAAATTTATTTAAAAATGTATTTGTAAAACAGAACTCCTCCACTATGATTAAATTATACAGTCAGGACAAACTTGAACATACTTCTAATATCCCACACAGCAGACATCGGCAAACTTTTTTAATAATAAAGCGTATTAGAAATGCAGGACTTCTGCAGGCGCAGTGAGGTAGAGGGCTACAGTAATAATTAAACTGAATATAAAATAACATCAAAAAAAAGAAAAATCTGAAAGGCTTCGGATTTTATATTACGCTCAAAAGGGCATTTAACATTTTCTGTGCTATTTATTAAATATCATCTTCACACTTAAACCATAAAATTCAATTCAACAGCAACATCTTGAAGTAATTTAAAAAGAGTACATCTTTAGAATTTCTGATACACAGTCTCGTACGCTGGAGATAAAAATGTGTGTCCCCCCTCCAAATACAGTGTTGCCATTGCACGCTTTGAATCGTCGAGTTCCTTAATCAAAAACTCATACATGTTGTACAAAATATGTAAAAGATAATAAAACAAATTCCAAATTTGGACTTCTAGATGCCCATATTTAGGTGGAGATGTATGTTATTCAAAATTTGATGGCTCTAGGTACCATTGTTTTATCACAATGTGAGAAACATACATATATTTATGCAGATCCATCATTATTTATTTTCTTTAAATATAACACAGGACAACATATTCGGTGGCAACAATTTGAAAAGTGAAATGCCACAAAATGCCAAATCGAAATTAATAATCGAAATTAATATTCCTTCTGGAGTAAATATAAATAATATATACCGTATTTGATGGCATATAAGACGCACTTTTTTTCCTAAATTTGGTCTCAAAAAAGTTACTGCATCTTATACGTGAAGGACACAGGTTAACTTTCAATACTGAATGCTATTTTTAACCCGGATAAAGATCTAGACACATATAACTTTTTCTACATCTACATGTGCGTGGCCTTTTAAATAAGGGTGCATCTTATATGCCGTCAAATACGGTAATTGTATCAAACAGTTAATTTATGTTGTCTTTACAACTGAAATAAGTTGTTGACATGCTACAATCGGCTAAAATGAAATTATTTTATTAGTACCAACCACTGCAAAAGCAATGTTATCCTTATCTTTTAATTTCAAAAGAGGAATGTGTACTTCGCTTATACGTTGAAATACAAATTAATGAAAGGACAACTTTATATATATAAGAACAGAGGTTACAATGTAAAGTATAGCACACAATGGTAAAACAGAGTATACGAGAATAATGGTGGCAGAAAATAGTTCATTGTACACACAGATCAGTCAAAAATTGATTAATCTAGTTATGTAATGTTAGATTTCACTGAAATTCAGTTTTTATCATGCATTTAATTGAAAAATTTGTGCAGTTGTTAAAATGGCAAAGATGAAGTAAGAATTTTTATAAAAACTATTCATTACAATTACGAATTTGCTGTCCAAATATCTAGAATTTAGATATTTGAACAGCGGGCACTTTAAAATTGCTTCTCAGGCACCATATTGCAAGCTTCTGCTAATACGGCATTGGTGCACTAATCGTACAGTAAATTTTTCATAAATAAAGCATTTTATCAATTTTAAGTGTATTCAGATGACTAATTAACACCATTTGGCAGGCTTAGGTATTTGGATATTCAAGATAATCTAAAGGTTCTGTTTTGTTGATGTCTTTTCCATTCCAATCTTGGATTGGATTGGATTAATATGTATGAAAAAACAAACAAGTTCACTTATTGCAGAATTCAAGATACAACCACAATTGTGTAAAAGCAATATATTCTGTAATTAATTTCATTCCATTGCTATATAACTGATAGTCAGTGCACAGTAGTGCAATTCATAGCAATTTTATGATGATGTAAAACTTATTGACAAGTTTCTTCTATTCTACTTCATTCCAAATCATTCGATTTGCTTCATGCTAATTTCATGCTTTAAAAATAATTTTTATTTGGAAAGTGAGGTTCGAGACCAATAGCACCCCTGGCACTAATATAAATTAAAAAAGTATTAAAACAATACCTATTATTGCCAGAAAAAGTTATAAATTTTTAAGGAAAGATTAGAAATTTAAGTCATTATCTTTTTATACACAGCAAGTGAAAAGAGAATTTTCATGCACTGGATCATGCAGTTAAATTTTCTGATTTACTCTGACCTTACAATACCTTCCGGATTATTCCAACTGCTGAATTATGCAATATTGCATAATCAGCAAGATATGAGGATTTTGAGGCTGACAAATAGCAATAGGGTGTTCTTTAAAAACTAATTTAGGTTACCTCGTATTTATCAAAAATTCATGTAATATGAACTATCTGCTGGTCATTACTATTCATGATACTTCATACAAGTTCCATACATCCAATACTCTTAAAATATCTTTTTACAAGTCTCTTGTGTATAGAAATGCTATACGTAAAAATATTCACGGCAAACTTTTAGCACAAGCATTTCAGAACAACCATATTCCTGACCCATCCCTATTCTCATCCATGCTAAATCAACAAATACTTTGAAATCAATAAGGTATTTGTTGATGGCTGCTAAGTCATTAAGTACATGAGTTATTTACACAGAAACTCCAACCTACAGCAAAACTTATCAGTAATCATGCGAATGGCATTTTTACAACTTTGAAAATGTGCATGTAAGGCATATTTTTTTTAACTAACCATTAATTGCAATCGATTTAATTACATTTAAAACCCACATATATGAAAAATTAATTTAAAAACACTTTTTATAAATTACATGCATATTTAATATTAAATTTTCATTTTATTCCTCAAGTAGAAATAGCACTAAATCTAATAATATATTAACAAAGCAAATATTTTAAACTACAATCATAAAAGAAATCCAAATCCATTAATCATATATCTTTAAGGAATTTGTCGATTCTCATTTTTATGAGGAAATAAAAAATATTAAATTTAAATACACCAGAATATTACATATAATCATAAATATATAATTTATGAATAAATTGCAAATGCAAAGATTTATACGTACAAAGCTTTGGTTCTGAATTACAGAATTTTGTTTTTTATAACACAATTCTTCATTTGCCTGCATATTTATCTTTTCAATCAAAACTGCTTCAAGAGTTTTCGTACCTAAATTTGGTTGAAATTAAGTCTGATTATATATATAATAGGAAAAGATTCTTTCATAAGCTGCATTTGAATATATTATTAAAGCAACAAGCATTTTATAAATCTAACAAATAAATTTATTAAAAGTTCAACTTCTCTTCCCAATCAATGTGTATAAGGAGCTAATTGTTCCAAATTTATATTTACTGTTATAAACAAAGCATTCTTCAAAAATAATGAATTCAGGTTGATGGTAGGTGATTATATGATAATTTTGTTAATGTTTTGCAGTCTCTTTCCTTCAATCTCTCTTTTCTGGTTGTTTGCCAAAAAATTTATCTGAACATCCCACAATTCCAACATTCTTGTTACACACCCTAAAAGAAAAACCCATCTTGTGCTGCAGTACTTTAAAATTTTGTGAGATTTTTTAATTCTGTGCCCTAATTTGTAGAACATGTTTGAAACTGTCCTTCCATTTTCAAATTTTCTTTAAATGAAAATATGTATCTATTATTAACATCTCTGAACTCGGATGATGATTATATCTGATTAATAAATGATACCACATCTCTAAATTTTCCCAACATATTATTAGTATTGCTTGAAGAAAATAAGTAATTTTTCCATTCTAAACCTTTCCTTATAAAGTATTCATTTATACAATTGAAAATACCTTCTCTCATATTATTCATGCATTCTAAAATAGAAATCAATGAAGTAATTATTCTTCCCTTTTCTTGTAGTAATATGCCATAATCAAAAGGTACAGTTTGTTATCATTGCTTCGATCAGTACTTAAAGCAAATAATGTAAGTACACTCATATTACATTCTCAGCAACAGCACTTTCTGCAAGTATTTTCACTATTGCAGCAACTAAATTTTTTTGCTATGGCAATATTGCATTGGAAACCTGTTTTGAATGGTCTGAAACTGAAATTGGCAGATTATCTTCATTTAAAAACTGAACAGATGCTTTAATATACGGAAATTTTGTAGAATACGTACTTTTAGATTTCTGACTTGATAATTTTAGCTTCTTAGCTTGAGGTGCCATAATTCACAAACAATCTTTCAGCTGAATCACAAGATACTCATGCTACACTCTTGGTGTAATCTTAATAAATGGAATGGAAGAAAAGTTAACAAGTCCTTCACTGCCAGCAAAGAACATGAATTCCTATTCAGGTTCCATTATTATGCTGCAAATATCATGCACAATGCAGTGGTTACACTTCAAGACCAGCAACACACTTCACATGAGAAGTCATAGGCATTCAGTTGATCATTCCATAAATTAGATGGTTCTGTTTTGTGTACTATTTCCCTTGCCCTCTTTGTGTAAAATCCATATTCACCCGACTGCCAGTTTTCATGCTGCACTCCCAAGACTAGGAACCCCCCTTTTTTTTGACTTCCCTTCTAGAAAGTTTCTCGAGGTTACGTATGTGTGTCAATCCCATTTAGGGATGTCTGAGGTGCCAGAAATAACATATCTTTCATCCTAAAGCTGGCAGATAGAATGTATCAAAGTAAAATCAATAGCGTTTTCCAAATTTTCTGCAGTTTGTAATTTTTCAATAATTTTCATAAAAATAGAGAGAATCTACAAGTAGTTCCGAGTCTATGCTTACAATGTGTTAATTCTATTTTAATTATCAGTTATTGTATATATCTATAATTCTATTTAAATTGCTATTCATGTAAAATTTTCCATCTTAAGTGTGCGTGTGTACTGATTAAAAAATATTCAGTTATCAAAATATTTTGTTTTTGAATTGTTGAAATCATTGTACTTGGAATCTGTGTTTAATGCATGAATTGTTGAAATCATTGTACTTGGAATCTGTGTTTAATGCAATCTAATTAAGGATTTTCGCTTCTAGAATGATATAAATGAAACAAAGATATTCAGAGACATATAATGAAGAAAACATGTAAAAGAATTATACAGATTAAACCTATTGCTACATCTAAATCTGAAATTATATCGCATAAAACATGTTTTCCATTGATATATGCTAAATATTGAAGAAATATAATAACCCCTATAAATTTATTTAAATTTTTACCAGGATAGTCATATGCTGAACGATTTTAAACAAGTGTTTGCAAAATAACCAATAGAATAAAGCAGTGAAAATAACTTATTTTAAAGAACAAAATAATTAAAAGCATTTAATATTTATATATTTCATTAAAAATGACATTTATTACAGACTAAGAAAATAATTTTACATTTCAACTAGTTGTATGTTGAAAATCAACATAAAAAGCACTTGTAAGCACAGTGTAACAAAGAAGCAAATATTTACAATACGGTTATTGAAAATGGAAAGCACTTGTTCATTAGTTTCTGTTAACAGGAATTTCATAAATTAAAGAGTCACTTTGGTTCTTCAATTATACCATGAGCAATATCAGTCATTTTTGGATATTTCACTTTTTTCTTTTCTAATTCTTCTTGACTCCACAGCATTAGTTTTAACATAATGGCAAGCTTAGGTGTTGTTGATTCTCTGTTTTCCATTTCCAATATGGAAGCATTTACTTCACTAGCAATCTAAAATAAAGAGGAAGAATTTTTCTGTTATCTTGCTATTTCTTTTGATTGAATGTAAAACTGCCTTTTTATTTATTCAGTACTCTTCTATTTTTGGAACCAGGTTCAGAAATATATGTGTATGTATGTGTGTATACACACACACACACACACACACACACACACATATATATATATATATATATGTACGCACTTATACATGTGCAAATGTGAACACATACATCCATATACATGCATTTCTGAATCCAGTCCTGAGAACAGAAGAGTACCATTTATTCCCTTAGAAACATTACTCAAAACAATTACTGTTTCATTGCTAGAAAGAATTATGTTTTAAAATGATGAAAAAATGCTACATAAAATAAATCAGAAAATAAACAATTTTCCTAAAAAAACTTCAAAATTTATTACAACCAAAATGACCAGATTTTTTTCAAACATAACTTTGCAAGACAAAACAATTTCATGGATTTTTTTAAATCATTTAAAGCATAATCTTATGAATGTTATGATTCTCTCAAACAACTGATTCTTTTAGTTTTTATTTATATATATAGTTGTTCATATGTTTTAGTGAGCATCCAATCACATCCTATGATTTTAAACAATGTTTGTGGTCACGACTATCAGTAATGTTTAGTATCATCATTTATTTATCCTCTCAAAAATACGGCTCATTTTTTTAGATGGTCACCATGAGAAGTTTTACTTTATTATTGAAATAAGTTCTGTGTTGCTGCAAACTGTTTTTAGTAAGTGGATTTCCTCTATTAATGTTGCAGACTTTGAAACAACATGATTATTCTGCAGAGAAAATCTCCCTTAAATTCAGTTTCATAATCAGATAATTATTTAATTTTGAGAGTATTTCATGGCTTTCTATATACAATAGTTTAATTCTTAATTATCTACAATCAAATAATTTTTCTCACCAAAATATTTTCTTTTGATTGTTAAGCTTTCCTAGCACATTTGTTACATTTTCAGTATTATCAGAAAGCGATCCCATTTTAAAAATTTTCATGTAATTTAATTTTATTATCCATTTTCCAAATATGAAACTCAGATGGAATAGAAATTCGTTTACAAAATGAATCTTTTGATATACCTTACCCATTTCCTAAAACATATATCAAGAAACCGCATTTACTTGACCACTGAATATACTTCTGATCCTATAAAATTATCTACATAACCATATTGGAGTGATATTACCTAAATTCATATCAACTACAGTACAAAGTTGTCCGGACGTCCATTATCTGGAATGATCTATAATCCGGACCTCAAAGCCACAAATATTTTTTTTTGGTATGCTTTACGCATGCACGTATTGTGTTTAAGCATGCGCATTAATGCTCGTTTAAGCATGCACATTGGGAGGATGTGTCTTCAGATAAGTTAAAAAATGCTTGGCATAATTTATGGCCAGCTGCCATATTTAATTGTGAGGACGATGAAGATGATAGCCGCGAATTTGAAGGTTTTCGGACATCGCAAACTAAAGGTGAAATTTTCCAGTTACTGGATTTAGTAAAGAAATGTTGAGAAGCGGTAATAAATGAAGATGATATAACAGAAGTTTTTTATTGCAACGACAATGCCCCCGGATCATCAACCAATTAACAGACGGCGAAATCTAAGTAGAGTTGGTTCGAAATCTGTAATACCGCTTCCGATAGGTGAAACTTTGTAACTGAACAAGAAATTATGTCTGTTTATAGACTTAAAGAGAAAGTATTAGCATAAAAAACGAAGCAACTTAAACAACTTACATTGAAAGAAATGTTTAATAAAATAAACAAATCAATATTAACCTTTTTTTTTTTTTTTTTTTTTGTAAATTTTGATATCCTTTAGATCATAATTGCTGTATATTTCATAAATTACAGTTTCATATTTTTAAATTTATAATTTCTGCATGCCATCTTACCAGATTTAAACTGACAATCTATAATCCGGAAAAACCCCTAATCCAGAATCGCCGAAGTCCCGAAGTGTCCCGATTACGGACTTTGTACTGTATCATATTTTTCAAATTTAAGAGTATTTATAGAATGCAGGACATTTTTTTGAACTTATGTTGAAAGAGGACATTGGATTGAAATTTGGGAAAAATTTATCCAAAATGTCTAGTCCCTTTAGTCCACTTTTTCCTTTTATAAATTTCACAGTTGTCTTTAAAAGATCCTACTCCAAATATGAAGCACTTTTCACCAAGCTTATGATATACAGTACAACATCCAAAATCCGGACCGGTCGGGACTTGGAGATTCCGGATTTGGGATTTTTCCGGATAAAAGATAATCAATTTAAATCTGGTAAGATGGCATGCAGAAATTATACAATTAAAAACATGAAATCGTAATTTCTGAAATAAAGAACAATTATGATCTAAAGGGTATCAAAATTTACAAAAAAGTTTAATATTTATTTGTTCACTTTATTAAACATTTCTTTCAATGTAAGTTGTTTAAGGTGCTGCCACAAAAAATTCAAAAATTTCCTTTTTCTTTTTTTCTTCTGTCATATACAGTGGACTTTCCAATGCCATACTCCTCGCATAATTTTGAGACGGATATGCCTTTATCCATTTTTTTGCAGCAATTCCACTTTTTGTTTAATGGACATCGAAGCATGGTTTCACTTTGGTTTGGCAACTAAAGAATTGGAAACTCTTTTCGACACAATCGCAAGTTCCAGCTTAGTTTTTATAAAATTGCCGTAATAATAAGTCTGCAAAAAATAATAAGCTGGATCAAATTAGAAGATCAGGGAGCAGCGCAGTCTGCTACATTAATTGAAATGCCTTAGAATCAGTAAAGATAATTTTAGTCTAGCTTAATAGCGCCTGATACACATTATTGGCTGTGTATCACAAGATTGGCGATGAAAGCCAAGTTGTTTCACTAAATTTTGTCTTGCTCCTAATGCGTACAGAATTAAGCCTAATGAATTAGTTTAGTTATTTACTAACCTACATTTATTTCTTGCACATGCTTAAAACTAATCCGTCCTAAATAAATAAACTCCCATATATACGAGGGCTATCCAGAAAGTAGATTACGTTTTGGAATAAAAAAATAAACAAAGTATAGGAAACAAATTTTATTATATACAGATGAAAGCCACACTCAAATACTACTTTTCTACATAGTCACCATACAAATTAAGGCATTTATCGTAGCGATGTACGAGCTTGGAAATTCCTTCGTCGAAAAATTCGGCCGCCTGCGCCTTCAACCACTTCGTTACCTCTTCTTGCCTTCCATCTTGCACAAAACTTGTGGTAACCAAGCTTTTCGCTGATGATTTCGTGCAACAAACTTCGCGAAATTTGTGGAAAACTCAAAGAAAGTTCCGTTATTGTGAAATTTCGATTTTCACGGACTTTAGCATCGACTTTTTCGAGAAGTTCGGCGGTCACTATGCTGGGTCTCCCACTTCGATCTTCGTCGTGAACGTTGGTTCGGCCATTTTGAAATCTTATGACCCACTGACGCACTCCACCTTCAGTGATAATGTTGTCCCCATACACTTCACGAAGCTGCCGATAGATTTCTATCGGTTTACAGTTTTTTGCAGTCAGAAACCTTATTACTGAGCGCAGCTCGCGGGATTTTCAATTAACGCAGACATTTCAAACCGTCACAGTATCTGAACGGAGCACAGCACGAACCTCTCACTAGCATGGCTAGATGCAGACTGAGCTGCGCAACGCTCTGACCCCAAGATGGCCGCGCTAGCCCCGCCCCTAGCGGACACAGACGGAAACGTAATCTACTTCCTGGATGGCCCTCGTACTTAAGGCTTTATCTAGGGCTGGCACTCAATACTGCCTGGTGCAGTCTCTACTCGTCCTAAATTCGCTTTGCTTTTCATCGAAAGTTCTAAATTTTCACTGCGCCTAAACTTTAGATCCCAGTGCTTTTCCTAAATAAAAAAAACTTCTCATCCCTTAACTTTGCCGCTTGGCGCTTCCCCAAATTCCAAAAATTTCGTCTTCCCCAAATTCTGCCATCCGGTACCAACATATTCTGCTGCCGCTTCTGAGTTTATGGTGAATAACATATCAGTTATTCTTAATTAAAAGAGCACTAAATGTAATCTTTTGGCCTATGAATTTCATTAACAAAATCTATTTTTAGCATATGAAAAGAAATTTTTGTTGAATTTTTTCTCGTCAACATTTCTTAAGAGCATTTAAAAATCTATAATCATCGCCAAGCATAATGTTAGCATAAAAGGTTGCCATACTCTTGTTATTTAATTACTAGTATAAAAAAAAAGTTTAGACATCACAGCAAAGTTATTAGTGAAGCTGTCATGTATTGATAAACATGCGAAAATGAAAGCAAAATATAATAAATAAAGACTCGCCAGGTTTGCATCAGGTATATAAAATAGGTGAATTTTTTTATTTGAGATGTATGCCAACTAGATACTTAGTTACGGAGCCAAATTATTAATCTCACAAATTTATGCCTACATGATTGTTTAACGAGGTATTTTATGTAGTGCCTAAGTGAAATTAAGAATCAGAATTTTTAAATGAAAATCTCCACATGTTTTATTATGGAAGGGAAAATCAAATGCACTTGCATAAAGCATTAATAAAAAAATAAAAAAAAAAAAAAAAAAGTGTTTGTGGTTTTGAGGTTTGGATTTTAGATCATTCCGGATAGTGGATGCCTGGATTTCGGACTTTGTACTGTACTAAACAACATGAGCTTTGAAATCTCATATAATGGGATATGAAACTTACATTTCGGAAAAGGTCATCTAAATCAACCCCTGCACAAAATAACTGATTAGTTAATTAATTAATACCAATTTCTTCTCCCATAATTATATGCTGTTGTAACAAAATGTAACTCACCAGATGAGTTTATTCAAGAGATGAATAGAATTTCTTTGAAGTTCTCAATAACTGTAAAAAAAATATGTCTAAATAGATAGACAAACAGATATTAACTTCAGTTTAATAAGTGATTCATATTCTAATCCACATTTCTCCTAATTTAAGCATTTTTAATGCAGCATGATTAGTTTTTCTTTTCCTACATACAATGAATGCTGTTACATATTTGTATACAGAAGGAATTTTTATAGCTTTTTTCCGCTTCCAAAATTTATTCATTTCTATATCATTCCGAAACAGTACTAATTCATACATTTATTAACTACTGAAGAAAAAAACACATTTAAAATTTGGAAACATCACATGCAAATTTTCATTTATTTTATTAATTTTTATTGGAAATATTGTTTGCTTTTAGATATAGATGCTTTTTACTTTTTGTCTGTGAGATGGATGCAGCAGATCACCAAAGGGTGATCGTTCTGGTTCATCAAAAGCTAATAATGCCAGAGTCCTCTCCAACTCAGACAAAACTTCTTTATTTTCTTCACCTCTCTCAGCCAACTGCTCTTGAGCATATTTCAAGGCCTCTTCAATATTTCTTTCACGAATAAGTTCAATGAGATGTTGTTGCTGCAAATAAATGTTACCTAAGCAATTAAACACATCAGACATAAAATCATGCATACTCAAAATTTAACAGAAGCAATTATTATTATACTACTAATTAAAAGTATTTTTCTGACTTTTATCCAGCAAATTCACACCAAAAATCTAATACAATATATGAGCCTTCTTTGATGATGGCTTACCAAAAGTTGTAAGGCAGGAAATGATTAGATCAATTTGAAACTTAAAATACTTTTGCATATAGCAGTTGATTTAAAAAGGAAATTTCATAAAAATCACACCTTTTTTGCATTAAGATATTTCATTATTGACCATTAAAATATATGAATTTGATTAAATTTCTGCAAAAACAAAAATTTTATCAATTTATTTGAATGAAAATTTTAACTAGGAAATTTCACTCAGATTCAGCAAGCAATATTTTTTCCGATGTCAAAACAATGAACATTTTTCTTCTCTAAATAATAACTATTAAAAAAATTGCATTTTTAAATGAAAGTATTTTTCTTTTTGTGGTTTTCTCTTTGTGCAATAAAACTAAATGCATAACATAAATAAAAGTCCTATCCTCTACAAAATCTGACAAAAAGGCATTTCTTTTCGAAGATATTATTTACTATGATGAAATTAATTAATTCAATCCAATTTAAACAACAATCCTAATTACAGTTTTGAAATTACAACTATCCTTTAGATACATTTTTAACATATGAAAAAATGTAAGCTGACTAGAAACACTAAAAGGTATAAGTAATCAAAAGTGGGACAAAACAGAATAAAATGTGTGCCTAAATTACTATGAGACTAAACCTTCATATTATTCTTTTTATATCTAAAAGATTCAGATAACCCATTAGAATACATTTCATAATTCTTCACTTTCACTGAATCTTATTACCAATATCTGTTTTTAAGTTAAATGCACATAACTGTATCCCTTCCATAGTTCAGAGTACAGTTTCATTTAATGCAATTCCACATGGAAATACTCCCTTAGTCAATATGCAGTTAATTAAAGAGTCAAGATCAACGACTGAATCACACAGTGAATGAAAACCTAAGAGTGCACATCAGTGCAGTGTAGTGTTATCTCTAGTTTGCATAGAAGCAGTTATCTGGAATGGAGTAACTACATGCAGTTTATTAATAGTATTCTAAGATAAAGAATACCCCTTATAATTTAATTGACTAGGGGGTTTGAGGATGAGTATAGATAACATTCTTTCATGTTACAAACATGTTTTGAGATATCAGATGGTTTGGAAAGGTGTTTGTTTAACAGTTTAAGAAGAGACATGCCATGTATGACTGGCATTGCCTTGTTGAACGATGGCATGAAGATGCTGTTATTGGAATGGTAATGCAGCGTACCATAAAATGTCATTAATATTAAACTGCCATCTAGGTGGTGACTGGAACTACTATGGTCTCTTTTCTCAGATAAATTGGACTCACATTCTTATAAACCTGCAGTTTATGATTTTTTTCATTTTTATAAACTACTGCATTGGTCCTGAAAAATATTTCAAACTACTGCATTGATCCTGAAAAATATTTCATAAAATTAATGGTAATTTTTGCTTTGATTTATGAATTAAAATTATATATTCTCTTTTTTTCAGTGATTTCAAATATACCACTTATATTTCACCATTTCTCTTTGAACATCAGAAATTTAGACAGGGAGAGATAAAATTTTCTGGAATGGATTAAAATAATGAAATATCCTAAATCTTTAGGTGGAAATTTTCAAGTTGATAAGAAAGGAGATAGGGTCTTGCCACTACATTTGAAATTGAAACCATGGTTTGAAGGTACTAAAAGGAACACGGTGGAAAAAAAAAAAAAGAAAAGAAAAAAGAAGGACAGTTCTATATCTCCCATTTTACCGGGACGATTGACGAAATTCAACTTACGTTTTTCATGTCAGCAGTTTCTTCAGCTCTCTTAAACCCCTATCACATACGATATTTGTTGCCAGAACAAAAAATTTGGTGGAACAGTTCTTTGAATTGCTCTTTCGCGAAATAGGGTTACCATTTTCACTTGGTAAACAGGCTGAAAGCCAAACAAGAAACAGTTATCGCTCAGATTGGCGAAAGTGACGTTTCCTTTCAAGTGACGTTTGCTTCTTCGTGTTGTTTTGTATCACTCACACTCTTTTCGTTTTAAACTTTATTGTTAGTAATGGTAGATAACAGAAAGGTGATTGCTATCAAGTTAATCACATTGATCTCCACTCTGGCACTTCAAGTAACAGATAAACACACTTCTGATTATAGCAATGAATTACATCAGTAATAGCCAAATTCTGTATACACTAAGTTTAAAACGTGTGCTGGATAAGTCTATTTATCAGTCATTACTTATGTGTATTTTCTGTTGTCTGCATTCCAATGAAAATTTGATGGCTTACTGGAAAATTTGTAACCTGGTGAAAGCATTTTCTTGACTAACTTTATGGCTCATAATTACTATTTGTTTGAATGGACATTCAACAAAACACCCAAAAAAAAAAAAAAAAAAAAAAAAAAAAAAAGAAGAAGAAGAAGAAGAAAGAAAGAAAGAAGACCTATGAAAAACATTGATATGGCTGATATTTACATCCTCATAGCCAGCAGATACTATTCAGCAAAATGAAGATCAAATAAAGCATATGAATACATGAGCAATCGAACGTATGTGAGTTGTTTACCGTCCCATAGAACACTCGGTAATATACCTAAAACACATTAATTATACCAACTCTAGAAATTAGGTGGTGCACATCATGAGTTTGTTTTATGTGATTACGACAAAGCTTTGAGTGATATCTGCCTAACAGGAGGGATCCCTTCGTAGAAGATTTTTTAAAACTGGCTCATATACCAGTTACAAATGGGTAAACCAAGAAAATGCCCATGTAGCCAGCCCGTTCGCGGCATTCTAACTTGAGACAGAACTACTAATGTTCAATGATGCTTCGGCCACTAGTAGGCCCGTGCACTTAATTGGAAAGTGCAATTCATTATGTAAACAGACATGAAGGTGATAATCAGTTGTGCACTGTTTTAAGTAATCAAATGTTATAAATGCACAGCTGTTACATTTCTTATTATTTATTAGTCATGTTTATATTATGTAGATCATAAATACAATATAATTAAGAATTAACCCAATAACAAAATGTGTACACTCTTTAGTACTTAAATGCTCATAAATTATTTTTCAATTGATTATTACATATCCATAATAATTTGCAAAGAACTGATGACTACAGTTGATGCCAGTTACATGATCGTTATATGAATTAAAAGTAACTTCAAATAAACTTTTTTGCAACGTTCATTTTTGTATTCATGCATACATACATATACATACATGCACATCTAATGAGTCATATATTTACATACAGATAGAGAGATGCGATGGTTTAGAAGTTGTTGTTATATATTTATTAGTATTAATGTAATGAATAAGCTTTATATTAATGAATGTATATACAAATGTTTTTCATCATGCATAATAATAAATCCATAAAGTTTGAATGTTTCAATATGTAGCATTTACAATAAAAGTATAGTTTCTAATGTATTTATAATCCAAAAGTATTTCATTAATAACATGAAAATAATAGACAAATTAATGAGTATTCTCAATTATTACTAAACTATGCTTTTCTTTTTTTATGAATCTTTATGCTGGTAAAATGTGTCACTGATTATACAATGAACAATTTAAAAGATAAGTAATTAGGAAAAAGCCGCGCATATACAAACGGATTTAAAAAAATTATTCAATTAAATTTAAGAAATAAAATCTATTAATAAACAGTGATAACACGATCAGCATGAAATACGACAAATTTGGCAAACATTTGTCGACGAACAATTTGTAAACAAATCCGAACTGCAAGAACGTCGTAAAATACTGTCAACTCTGAAATTTCCATGATTATATATTTAATGAATATATAAGCATTTTAAAAATGACTCAGGCAGTTATACTACAACAAAACAGCAATAATTAAATTGGCCTCTATTTCCAATGTCCATGACTTCACAGTGAGAGCTATCGCCATATTGAAAGTTACCGTGATCCTTCAGAAGTAGAATTTTCGTCTGACTAGTTGAACGTTCAAGGAACACGTCTCTAGACGGAACGCTTTTGGAAAAGATTTTAAAATGTTGCTCGTAGCTGGGACATGTTCCTCCTAGCTAGACGAAACATTTCTCGGAAGCCTCCCGCTTAAAGCAGTGCTACTAGAATCTTGTTTCTTGGAATTGTCCCGGGTAGCCGCGTGCGTCCCTAGAAGTGATAGCTTCTTTAGTTTTCAAAGGTCGTAGCTGAACAAACTTAGTTAAATGATCTTGAACACCATTATGAACTTCCATCTTTGTTTGACTGTAGATCTATCAGATCAACTTGACATCTTGAGTTTAACTCGGACCTGATCATTGGTTTCACAACAATGACTTTCTTAAATGAAATGAGTTTCATTTGAGACTGTTTACATATATCTAAATACAAAATTACAACTTCATATGTAATATTTTTGCATTTAATTTGCAACTCTTTAAGCATACGTGTTCTTTCTTCGTGGCCTATTCTGGTGTGAGTTTCATTTAGTACAGTACAAAGTCCATAATCCAGACGTCCATCATCCAGAATGATCTATAATCCGAACCTCAAAGCCACAAACTTGCATGCATACGCGTAAAGCCAGTAAAGCATTTAAACATGCGCGCTCCCAATAATGAAGAAAGTAATAGAGAATGTTATTAAAAACGAAAAAATTTTAATTGACAAGTTAGACAGCAATTACAGGACTTGAGAACAGTGGAACTTAGTAACTGAACAAGAAACTATGTCTGTTTATAGCTTAAAGGGAAAGAATTAGCACAAAAAAACAAAGAAACTTAAACAACTTACATTGTAAGAAATGTTTACTAAAGTAAACAAATAAATATTAAGCTTTTTTTTTTTTTTTTTTTTTTTTTTTGTAAATTTTGATACCCTTTAGA